ACTGCAATATTGTATACCCAATACAATAACTAACACCAGAATACCCAAAAATTACTTGCACACCATCAAGTCATATTTTACTTGAAAATCACATTGAAAACTACATCAAACCTTTCCAAAAAAATTAACCATAACTAAGTGAGTACAATTAGATGGCATGTCTGTCTTGCATTTAGCCAATATAAGATTGAACTTCCTTCACTCCTTCCATTAAATGAACCACACAGGTTTACCTCTGGATGTAATAAAGTAAATAATAGCTTGAAGAGACAGGACCAACACTTTTAATAGGACCAACTTGAACAGTCTGAAATAAGGTGTTAATATTACATGCTATTTCCAGTGTGGTTTTGAGCTGGGTGTTGGAAGACGTGGCACCTCACTCCCTGGGAGACTCCCTCATCGCCATCCGTGCTGGCTGGATGGGCAAGGGCTGCACTGAACTTTACCCAGAATGCCCCCTCACCCCAGACCCTCATCCCGCTGCTAAGGAAGCCATCACATTCTTCTCCAGGTATACATATTATCTATTGTATCTTATTTAAGTTATATCATAAGAAAACTCATTTCTGGGAAGGCATAACAAGTTAAGCAATCAGGAGAAAGACTGGTTTGTGTAAAGTTTGAGTCCTTTTGAGAAGGCAGTGTTAGTTTCTAATCTAGTTGAATGTAATTTCTATACTGTAGCACAGAAATCCCTAATGTAATGTGATATAAATTCATTAAAATAATAAATAACCACCTAACTGAGGGAGATGTACTTTGTCACATGGTCTGTGGTAGTGATTACAGACCCAAGAATGGATTGACAAGCAAATACCGTTCAAAGCCCTGAAATAAGAGTGGGAAAACTTACCCTTGCTAAAGATCAAATCCTTCAATTACATAAAAGAGTGATGTGCTGAGTCATTGATCTGATGTACAGTGGAGCCCCGCCTTACGATATTAATCCATTCCTGAGAGCTCATTGTAAGCCGAAATTATCGTTAGCCGAATTAATTTTCCCCATAAGAAATAATGGAAATCAAATTAATCCGTTCCTGACACCCCAAAGTATGAAAAAAAAAATTTTACCACATGAAATATTAATTTTAATACACATAAACTGAAGAAGACATGCACAATTACTACTCTACTAAGAATAGAATACATGACACTTACCTTTATTGAAGATCTGGTGATGATTGATGGGATGGGAGGAGGGGAGTGTGTGGAAGTTATTGTTTAGAAGGGGAATCCCCTTCCATTAGGGCTTGAGGTAGCAAGTCCTTTTCCGGGGTTACCTGCCTTCTTCTTTTACTGCCACTAGGACCAGCTTGAGAGTCACGGGACCTCTGTCGCACAACAAATCTGCCCATAGAGCTCTGTACCTACCGTTCCTTTGAGACTTTCCTAAAATGGGCCATAACATTGTCATTGTACAGGTTGCCAACACAGCTTGCAGTAGCTGTGTCAGGGTGACTTTCATCCATAAAGGTTTGCAGTTCAACCCACTTTGCACACATTTCCTTAATCTCTTTTTTCAGTTCCATACTAATTCTCGCCCTTTTTACCACAGGGATGGCACTAGAAGCTTTCTTGGGGTCCAAGGTGGCTTATTTTGAAGTTACAAGCACTAAAAACACTGGGATAATGTGAAATGTACTGAATGTATGTGTAGATGCGACCGCACTGGCTGGCTTGTAAACAATGGCGCTGAGGCCACATGTGGGACACGTCCCAGACGAATCACATTAGGCGAGTTTTTTATTGTGAGGCAAGGCAAAATTTTTGCGTTCAAGTGCTTCATTTAACGGATTTAACGTAACGCGATGCGTTCGTAAGGCGGGGGTCCACTGTATTTGTAAAAGCACATCAAGGTTGTGTAAATAGTATAATGTATTTGTGTAAGGAATGTTTCTACTGAATATTTATGAGTGAGTTTGAGGATAGAAAAAGATGATGACCAGGAAGGAGTGTATATACAGAGCAAGTGTTTGAGAAATGCACTGTGTGTGTGTTGGTCAACTGAATGTGGAGGTTAGTACAAAGAAGCTGGATGTCACTCTAGTATACTATCTTTAACCATCATTTACTAAAATGTTTTCCTATCTTATCCTGCAGGATGCCTCCCTATCCCATGAAAATAAGAAATGGATAGTGTTCTTGTTTGTTATCAGCAACTGGTGTCATATTTACATTACCCTCTTATTCCTCACCCTGCTGCCCACCCTCTTTTGCCCCTCTCCTTATTCCCTGCCCTCTCCTTTTCCATATAGTACAAGTGCTCCTCTACTTGTGATGGAGTTACGTTCTAATGATCCCAACTTAAGTCAGATATGAAAATGTTATTCTAAATAAATAACAACTGTCACTGAATAAGTAAATAAAAATTACTGTAACTAAATACTAGTACAGTGGACCCCCGGTTAACGAACTTTTTTCATTCCAGTAGTATGTTCAGGTGCCAGTACTGACCGAATTTTTTCCCATAAGGAATATTGTGAAGTAGATTAGTCCATTTCAGACCCCCAAACATACACGTACAAACGCACTTACATAAATACACTTACATAATTGGTCGCATTTGGAGGTGATCGTTAAGCGGGGGTCCACTGTATGGTGAAGTAAATAAATGAATACTAACTACAGACTTGCTGTCTTCATGCTGGGTAATTATCTTAAGTTTCATCTCCAAAGTAATTGCTTTTGCACCACTGTAAAGCTGAAATATCATTAAGTCGAACCATCAAAAGTCAAGGAGCGCCTGTACTCTGTATAAATCAAGATTCATGCTCCACTTCTTTAAACACATTTGCAATGTGAAGCTTCAACTATTTTTAAAATGAATGACAAGCTACTCTTAAAAACCAACATGGTACAATATATTTTTTTATAACGTACTAAGACAAAATATTCATTCATTATTTATGTACAGTAATTGTGATGCTTGTCCTCAGATTACAGTATGCTGCCACTCAACCCTCAGAGCAGTCACCACATCTGGCAAGTCAACCCAACCAGGACCAGACAACAATTAACACTTTGACCAAACGTACTAATGTTCCTGACCAACAAGAGACAACCATACACAAAAATAAACCTTGGCCACCTTATTCCCCTCAGAGGCAAGATTTCCAGGGCACCCCATCGCCACATCTCCAGTCTCAACCACACAATCGCCCTCCAGCCACAAATACCCCTTGGCCAGCTCAAAGATACTGGCTAACAGAATCAGAGTCTCAGCATTTACCTCAAGAGTATCAAAACACTGATTCCAATAGGAATGATGCAGCAGCATCATTTCAGGCTTATTATGAACGCTATGAAGGCCAAGGACCAATGTCAGTGCCAGGATTGCAGTATAGCTCAAAGTACGGACAACTGGATGGAGAAGATAGCAGTAAATTCTCAGATGAATTATATGAGAAATATGACAGCCCAGCTTCTAGTTCTGCTGAAGGAACAATTTCTAACTCCAGCAGTGTGTCTGGTATGGCACTCCAAGACCGTCCTACTAGCAACAGCCCAAAAGTATGGGAAAAATTCTTCAAGGCTGGACTCTATGGCTCCAGTGTTCAACAAGCAGTGACTGTAGATCACAAGGTAGGCAATAACAGCAGAATATAGTACAACTTCATAATTTCACAATAACGAATTATTACAGTACAGTACATACATACAGTATATACGATAAATCCTCTAATTAATGGACTAATGGGGTGTATGACATTACTGATTGTCCGAAACTTCTGAATTATGAAATAAACTTTTTTTATCATCATCTGGTTGTCTTCTGAGCAAGCAGACTTGGTCCACTGTTCAGAAGACAACCAGACACTAGGAATGCAGGTACTGTAACCTGCAGTACTAGAGTACAGTACTGTACGGCAATTTTATAGCACAGCCTCTCCTTAGCGACAACTCGGATATACGAAGGGCTCTCTGACCAGTATGCACACCGACTAATGTATATTAGAGATGATTTCGTCTATTCTGTTTATTACAATACACAGTACACTACTGTATAAACATTTAAAAATATACTAAAAATTTTATAAATGGTGCAAAGGTGACATTAAAACAATATCAAAGATGGCTGACAAATCCACTACCATTATAGTATGCTCCTTGCTTAGTGATGAATTCGTGTACCGATGTGATCTTAGGAACGGAACTCCATCGTTAAGTGAGGAGAGGCTGTACTATACATAATTTACAGTACAATTTTATTTACCTTTTGTGAAGAGAGATGTAAACTGCCATGAATGATAGCGGAGACTCAGAATAACTTTTATTTTGAATCAGAGGAACCATAAAGCTCTACTAGTGAAAATAATGTAGATAGTTGAGAAGACATGCCACTGAGACACCAGACTTAACCTTCTTAATGAATTTCAAGTTTCTGCTTAACACTGAGAACCACATGTTTCCTCATAGTATCACTACTAGCCTTAGAAGTCATTGTTAATTGCACTTTATTTGATGTGTTAATAAAGTCACACACAACACTAAATCAAGGGAAAATTGGAGACTGAATGACAAGTGTTTCCATGAGTGAGCACAAACAGTAAACTGGCACAGGCAGCCCATGACTCAGGAACAGTAAAAACAGACAAGTCCTGGATATGGCCACTCTGGCTTGTACTAGACAACTGTTGGAGTCATTGGACTCTGATACTTGAGAAGACAACTGGGCACTATCACTATAGACAAAATCCTAAATTACTGATTTTTCCATTTTGTCCAATGTTTCCAACATTTGTCCAACCAGTATTCTTTGTCTGAAATTGCCGAAATTTGTTAATGAGAGGTTTTACTGACACACACTCACACACACACACATACATACATACATACATACATACATACATACACTGTATAGAATGAGAGGGGGTAAAGCAGCTGGAACTGATGGGATCATGACAAATGTTAAAAATAGGTGGGGATATAGTTTTGGAGTGGTTGGTACTTTTGTTCAATAAATGTATGAATGAGGGGAAGGTACTTAGGGATTAGCAGAGGGTATGTACAGTTCCTTTATATAAAGGGAAGGGAGACGAAAGTGTAAAAAATGTAGGGGAATGAATTTACTGAGAATACCAGGTAAAGTGTATGGTAGGGTTATTATTGAAAAAAGTAGAGTAAAGACAGAGAGCAGGACTGCAGATAAACAAGGAGGCTTTAGAATGGGTAGGGGATGTGTACACCAAGTGTTTACATTGAAGCATACAAGTGAACAATATTGAGATAAAGGTAGGAAAGTTGTCAGTGCATCTATGGATTTAGAAAAGGCATATGATAGGGTGGATAAGGAAGCAGTATAACAGATGTTGCAAGTGTATGGAACAGGTATTAAGTTACTAAATGCTGTAATGAGTTTTTATGAGGATAGTAAGGCTCAGGTTAGGATGTGAAGGAAAGAATGACATTACTTTTCAGTAAAAGTAGGTCTTATACAGAGATGTGTAATGTCAACATGTTTGTTTAGTATATTTATACATAGGGTTGTAAAAGAGGTAAATGCTAGGGTGCTGAGGAAAGGGTTGGGATTAAATTTTGGGGAATCAAATACAAAATAGTACTTGACACAGTTACTTTTTGCTAATGATACTGTGCTTTTGGGAGATTCTACAAAGAAGTTGTAAAGGTTAGTGGATGAGTTTGGGAGCATATGTAAAAGAAGAAAGTTGAAAGTGAACACAGATAAGAGTAAGGCAATGAGGGTATCATTTAAATGAGCTAGGTAAAGAAAAACTGGATATCACATTGGAGGGAGGGAGTATGGAAGAAGTGAATGTGTTCAGATATTTGGGAGCAGACCTTTCAGCAGATGGGTTTATGAAGGACAGAGTAAACCATAGAATTGATGAAGAAAAGAGGATGGGTGGTACATTGAGGTATCTGTGGAGACAAAGAACGTTATCCATGGAGGCAAAGAAGAGAATGTATGAGTACAGTATTATTAAGAGGGCTGAGGAGGGGTTGTTGAGGTGGTTTGGTCATTTAGAGGATGGAGCAAAAATAGAATGACTTGGTGGGTGTATAAATCTGTAGTGGAGGAGAGGAGGGGTAGGGGTCATCCTAGAAAAGGATGGAGGGGATGAAAGAGGTTTTCTGTGCTAAAATCTTGGACATACAACAAACATGTTTGAGCATGTTAGACAAGAGTGAGTGGAGATGAATGGTTTTTAGGACTTGACGAGCTGTTGGAGTGTAAGTAGGGTAATATTTCGTGAAGGGATTCAGGGAAACCAGTTAGCCAGACTCAAGTCCTGGAGGTGGGAAGTACAATGCTTGCACTTTAAGAAGGGGATTGGGATATTGGCTGTTATGAGTGACATCTGAACTGTTGTATCTTGGCACCTCTGTAGAGATAATGATTATGTGTGAATGATGGTGAAAGTGTTTCTTTTTTAAGTCACCCTACCATGGTGGAAGATGGCACCGATGTATTAAAAAAAATACATAATGCATGTATGTTATGTAAGTGAATTACACAGTATGTATATTGCATTTTCTCACATAAATGATATTTGCCAGATTTTTCAAAAATTCATATTTAAATTTGAAATTTTCACTTTTATTTAGAAGATGAAGCTATCCACAATCTAGTTTTTAAATATTGCAGAATTGTGATTGAGAAAGATACTGTATTTCTGTACTTGCACTACATAATATTTTCATATTGTACTGTAGCTTTCTAGTGTACTGCATCAGGATTATATTAAGGAAATGTTAGTTATTAAAATAAATGAAAAATGTAATGATTAATAAAGTAACAAAAAAAGAAATCTTTACTATAATAAAATAACTATTCATCTTTCAGGAGTCATCTAGTGAAGAGTCTGACCCAGCAAAGTCAACTCTCTCTCAACACCCTCAAAGTCAGCCCATGTCCAGTCTGAACAAGATGGGGGCATTATTTCCTCAACAATTCTCCCATGCCAATAGCAATAACAACCAGGGACACTTTAAACACTCCCAACTAAACAGACTTGCCAAGCCCTTCTTCAATGTTAGACCAATGCAGAAGCATCGACAAACCACACGAGCTCCTTTCAATCCTCAACCTTCATCAGCAATGCCAGCAGTGAAGAAATATAAATACGGTTTGCGACGTGGCCTACCCGCAGGCAACGTGAATGGTCATAGTACATATACAAGCAGCAGCAATAACTTGTACCGACACAAGCCTTGGTATACCTATAACCATCCTAGATACCAGCCCACTTCCCTTGCAACAACATCCACAACAACTAGTACAACAGCTCATCCGCTAAAGTTAAAAGATGTGGCTCCATTTGGGCCTGAAGATGCTGTGACAGATGTTCTTCGAAATGAACTATTGTTTGAGTACATACGTGACAGACAGGGTTCCATTCCAACAAATGATAAATGAAGTAAATCATGAATATATTTAACTAAAATGATATTTACAAAGAAAACCTTATGATAAATACAATAATACCAAAAATAATGCTCTATTCAGATAAATTTTCAATGAATCAATTTATGTTTGAGATGAGCATTTTGTGTGTTTCAAAACATAAGTCAGTTTTGACTACTGCACCAGACAGTTTGGACTTGGGGATAAGCATTCATTAAACTAAAATAATGGTACTGTACTAAATTTCTAATGGTACTGGTAACAAATGAAAGGCTCTTGCCTACTTCAAGTAGGCAAGGTTCAGTGTTCAATGTTGTTTTTAATTTAAAAGTTTGGTCAGAGTTATAGTTCAAAGTCAAAAGGGGTGGATCATGGTAAAATTTTATTATGGATCATAAAATGAATAATGAAAACTATTTTTGAGATGGGAACAGGATCTGCTTTGCATCAAAATTCTTCCTATACTTACAGTACTAAAGGTGATAGTACTGTGCATATACTGTATGTACTATACTGCAATACTTAAGAGTGCTTTAATTTTACATACATGTACTATTTAATATTTCTCTCTATCTCAGGTATATTTAAATGAACCAAGCAATTATGACTTAAACATGAGATTGACAGTATCAGAGGCAAAATATAGTTTGTGAAAACTTTCTTTGCTGACACGAGTGACACAGACACTTATTACCAGTAACTATAGAGAGACAAGATATGACAAAGAGAGACTATGTGACCTTTAGTGAGTGACGTGTAGCTTGAGAGGTGACGAAATATTTGTGACAGTGACATGCATTTTCTGAAAAGATGCTACTTGCCACTATCAAGATGGACTGAAGACTTGAAAATGTGTGCAATTTGTTTGAACTGTTACCTATTTAAATATTTACAGGGTGATAAATACGTGAGGTTTGCTTCAACGAGTGCCAAGCATAGGCCTATAGACAATGTGCTTTAGTCTGATTTAAGCACATCCCATATAACATTTATGTTAAATGATTACAAGAACCATTATAAATTACTAGCAATGATCTAAACCTATTAGATTTCACTAAATTATCTACTATACTTAAACCATACCACGGGCGGAGATAGAACCCGCGATCAGAGAGTCTCAAAACTCTAGACCATCGCGTTAGCCATTGGACCAGCTAGCCACAATAAGATTCATCCAACTAGCTGGTCCAGTGGCTAACACGACGGTCTGGAGTTTGAGACTCTCTGATCGCGGGTTCTATCCCCGCCCATGGTATGGTTTGTTTGCAATCGTGTCATTACGATTTCGTGAGTCATCTACTATACTTTACTGCTGTAGAGCCTCTAGTTGAAATGTGCTCATCTATTCTATGCTTATGATTTATGCCACATGTTTCTTCTAAGAAGAATACTATTCAATGGTATTAGATAATTTAAATTAAAAATTAAGTTATATTTTATACAGCAATACTATCATGTAATCATAGACTTTCTGTATATTTCTTGTAATGATTTATCAGTACATTAGCAAATATGATTGTTGAAGAACTTCGAAAGGGTTAAGTCCAAAATTACCGACTGAATGACTGAAATAAAGTGTAAAAAACCTAACAGAATTACACTATTATTGACTTATGTAATGCAATCTCATCTTTCTTAAAATCTGAGTATGAATGATTATTTGATAAACTGAATGTTAAGAGTATGAGAGGATTTATAATGAAGGCATCACGAGAACGAATGAATTACCTAAGTTTAAGATGCAAGAAATGTCTTTTGGGCTGTTGTTTTAAGTAAAACAATCACCATATGTACCAGTAGATACAAGTCATGATAAGTATATTTGCAGTGCTATTATCAGCATTATAAACAATGTCTTCTAAAGGAGGCCTTATTTCATTCTTACTGGTATTAGAAAGATCCAAATATGACCTTAATGATGAATACCTGGAACCACCATTGTCTTAAACTAGTAAACCATCAACTAGAATAGGCAAAATATTAAAATATTGTTCCAGAAATGACATACCAGCATCTTACTATTGTGGGCATACAATTACTTTATATTAATAAAATTACTGTATACCTAAAAAACTACATGTCATTCTCCCATTTTTTCTAACAAAATTCTTGTCAACCATACTGAATTTGAAGCCACACTAACAACCACATATGCATATCATGCATGTATATGAGATTTCTGTGTTTCTAAGCTTATATGATGGATATTGCTAATTGTGCCACTAGATATAGTTATTGGCAGTATGAATCAAATCCCCACTGCAGGTTCCCAAAGGATTTTCAAAGATGGAAAATGAAGATTTCTGCTACAAGGTGGAAAGACTAGATGTCAATAGAAACATTTCCTTTAAGTACCTTGATGCTGGTGAAGGGCTCTCAAGACAAGGATTCAGGGTTATTCTCTCTTTCCCTAGGCACTGTATGACCCCTATGGGTTTAGTACTAATCCATGAATATATAATAAAAATAATGTACATGACAAACCAAAGCTAATAATAATTATTACATAACACTGTAGAACCCATATAGGTTAACAACTTTTTCAATACGCTGGCCATCTCCCCATCAAGGTAGGGCTGACTATAAAAAAAGAGGAACACATTCACTGTCATTCATTCAATACAGCCTCTCCTTACTTAACAACTGAGTTCCGTTCCTAAGACCACATCTTAGGAACGAATTCGTTGCTAAGTGAGGAGCATACTATAATAGTTGTGGGTTTGTGTCAACCATCTTTGATATTGTTTTAATGCCACCTTTGCACCATTTATAGCATTTCTGGTATATTTTTAAATGTTTGTACAGTAGTGTACTGTATACTGAAATGAGGAGAATAGAAGAAATCATCTCTAATGTACATACATTATTTAGGTATAAATACTGGTCAGAGAGTACATTGTAAGTCCGAGGCATTGGTAAATGAGTACGTCGCTAAGTGAGTAGAGGCTGTAGTTGTCTTGCTAGACGTATGCTGACATCCTTAACACCATCACTCCTGTACTTCTAGGACCCAGGAAGTACTTCCCACTTCCAGGACCCCGAGTCCAGTTAACCAGTTTCTCCTGAATCCCTTCATAAATGTTATTTTGCTGACACTCCAACAGTACGTCATCATCAAAGTCACTTGTCTCAACTCTGATCTATGTGCTCACCCAAGTCCATTGGTTGTTAAAGCCCCTAGCACTCAAAACCTCATTTACCCCCTCCCTCCAATGTTCCCTGGGATGATCTCTACCCCTCCCTCCTTCTACCCTACATTAATATACTACCCTCTTAGTCAACATATTTTGTTCCAACACACTTTAAAAGCCCTTTCTTCACTCTCTGAATTACATTTATTGGTAATCCCAAACTGTCCTCTAATCTCCACACTTACACTGTCTTCACATAATAACACCCTGCCTTGGTGGGATATGACTGGTGCAGTGAAAAAAAAAAATAAAGTGGCACTCTACAAGAAGTAAATTTCAAAGATGTAATTTAAGCAAGTGCCATCCTGAAAAAAATGGAAACCAACTTTACTTTAGCGTACTTCAACGTGTATAATTTATCATAGATATGTACTCAGTAAAAGAATATACAGTGGTCCTTCGCTTTTCGTAGTTCCCGGCAATCGTAAAATTCGCCAATCATAGGGGTATTTTCGTATAAACATTGACTCGCTTTTCATAGGTTGACTCGCAAGTCGTAGTTCGTCCAGGACACGTACCCACGGCGTGAGCCGTGGCGGCAGCCAGTCTGGCATTGTTTACCAGTGAGCGAAGGTCCCCTCACATGCTCCAGCGAAATACGTATTTCATAATATTCCATTTATTTTAGTGCTTGCAAGTACTAAATAAGCTACCATGGCTCCAAAGAAAGCTCCTAGTTCCAAGCCTGTGGTAAAGAAGGTGAGAAATACGATTGAATTTAAGAAAACCATCATTGAACAATATGAAAGTGGTACAAGTGTGGCCGAACTGTCCAGTATGTATAAGAAACCCTACACAACCTTATGTTCCATAGTGGCCAAGAAAAAGGAAATCAAGGATGCTGTTGTTGCAAAGGGAGCAACTATGCTGACAAAAATGAGATCACCAGTACTGGAAGAGGTTGAGAAGTTATTATTGGTGTGGATAAATGAAAAACAATTAGGAGGAGATACTCTTATGACTTCGATTATTTGTGAAAAGGCTAGGCAGTTGCATGAAGATTTGGTAAAGAAATTGCCTGCAAATAGTGGTGATGTGAGTGAATTTAAGGCCAGCAAAGGCTTGGTTTGAGAGATTTAAGAACCGTACTGGCATACACAGTGTGGTAAGGCATGGTGAGGCTACCAGTTCGGACCACAAGGCGGCTGAAAAATATGTGCATGAATTCCAGGAGTACATAGAGGCTGAAGGACTGAAACCTGAACAAGTGTTCAATTGTGACAAAACAGGCCTCTTTTGGAAGAAAATGCCAAAGAGGACCTTTATTACACAAGAGGAAAAGGCAATGCCAGGACACAAGCCTATGAAAGACAGGCTGATGCTAATGTTCTGTGCTAATGCTAGTGGGGATTTCAAAGTGAAGCCATTACTAGTGTACCATTCTGAAAATCCCAGTGTGTTCAGGAAAAACAATGTTATGAAGAGTAAATTGTGTGTGTTTTGGAAATCTAATAGTAAGGCATGGGTCACGAGGGAAATTTTCATCGAGTGGTTCAATGAAGTGTTTGGCCCTAGTGTGAAGGAGTATCTCCTGGAAAAGAAATTGGATCTCAAGTGCCTGCTAGTAATGGACAATGCACCTGCTTATCCTCCAAACTTGGATGACCAAATTTTCAAGGAGTTTGGGTTCATCACAGTAAAGTTCTTGCCCCCGAATACCACTCCTCTCCTCCAACCCATGGACCAGCAGGTCATTGCAAACTTTAAAAAAAATCTACACAAAAGCAATGTTTCACAGGTGCTTGACTGTGACCACAGACACTCACTTGACCCTAAGGGAATTTTGGAGAGAACACTTCAGCATCCTCCATTGCATAACCCTTATAGGTATGGCTTGGGAGGGAGTGACTACCAGGACTTTGAACTCTGCCTGGAGAAAATTGTGGCCAAATTGTGTCGACAAGAGGGATTTTGAAGGGTTTGGGACTGACCCTAATGAG